TCTCGGCCGCAAGATCTCATCTTGCGACCGCCGCTTACCGTCCCCATTTACTTCATGCCGAAATCACCTTTTTCTAGCCCTCCAGACTTGTCGTGGCTCATTTTCCTTTAGTCTAGGCATCCTTACGCAGTCCGTTATTTTTCGGACCGCATCCTTGCTCCTTCCCCTAGTCCCACAGCCCTACAACTTGCCCCATACTAGAGAGAAATGAAGCGCTAGACTCCCAAGTGCATCCAGACTCAATATTGACTCGGGATGCATTTAGAATATGTGTTTCCCTTCCTGCATGCAGTCCGTTGCAGCTCGGACGGCAAAGGGGGCCAATTTCCCAGCCCCAATGCCCCACAACTAGCCCCTACTTGAAAAAAAGAAAACAGCCAACTCCCGGATGCATCCGGACTTGGTTTTGGCTCCGGATGTATCCAAAACATGTGTCCCTCCTCCCCTATGTAATCCGTTATTTTTCGGTTGCATGGGGCCTTGATTTTCTTTCATTTCCTCTACAAAAATCAAAGAAAATCAGGGTCCTTTGCAACCACCATATTCCAGGATGAATTTGGTCACGAATGCACCTCCCCAAGTGGCCGTTTTTGGCTGTTAATGCCCTTTTGTCTTTTCCTCTCTCTTTCTTTTTCTTTTTCTTTTCTTTTTCTTTACCCTCCATTTGTGGACAGTAGGGACCTGCCAATCCCTACTTGCTACAGTCCCAACTGACGGCCAACTCACTCACTCCCTCTCACACATATTGTCTTATTCTCCCTCATTTTTCTTTTTCTTTTCTTTTTCTTTACCCTCCATTTGTGGACAGTAGGGACCTGCCAATCCCTACTTGCTACAGTCCCAACTGACGGCCAACTCACTCACTCCCTCTCACACATATTGTCTTATTCTCCCTCATTTTTCTTTTTCTTTTCTTTTTCTTTTTGCATGCCAAGTGTCAACTAACCGTTACGGCCCTTTTCTAGGCCCTCCTTCTTAGTTTTGGCCCTTCCTCTCCTCATGGTGCAGTCCGTTGCAGCCCGGACTGCAATTTTGGCATTCTCAGGCCCACGGGAGCCTCCTTTTATTCCCATTCCTCTCCCGCAGTGGCCTCCCTCACTCCGATTTACCCCGGGAGGCCTTATTTTCCCATGGGCTCTTTCTTAATTCAATTTTCTTGAGGGGGCTGATCCAAGATTTTTCGGATTGCTCCCATGCCTCCCACTTCAAGTTCCTTCACTTTTCTTTTTCCTTTCAGCCTCCCCGTTTGCTCCCACTAGTGCCCATACTAGCGGAGCTAATATTTTTGGCCGTCAAGATCCTCGATCTTGACGGTACGCCTTGCTTTAATTATTTGCTCCTCACATCGCTCTTTATTTTTCTCTTGGGACGTCACAAGTCCCTGCCACTTGTCCCACATTGGTCCTTGCTATTTGTTCCGCCGTGGACTGCCGACTTTTGGCCCGCCGGTGGTCCCCGACACCTAGTCTCGTCGGTGGTCCCCGACACTTACTGCCGTCGGCGGTCCCCAACACTTAGTCCCGTCGGCGGTCCCCGACACTTAATCCCGTCGGCGGTCCCCGACACTTAGTCCCGTCGACGGTCCCCGACACTTAGTTCCGTAGGCGGTCCCTGACACTTAGTCCCGTCGGCGGTCCCCTTGACCTCTGTTGTATTGAAATCTAGTGCCCCGTCTGTCCTCAGGCTGCGCCTTTCCACGCCCGAGCCTCCGCGCCCGTTTTCCTGCCGCTGCTAGCTCTTTCCTGCGGTTCCCAACCCGGGGCGCCGTTGCTCTCGCCAACTTAGTCCTTTGCTCTTTTCTCTTGCCGTTCCTCCTTATTCCCGATTTCTCTGTCGTGCACAAATTTGCTCTATACAAGCTCTTGAGTGATGAGAAGTCGTTTGCGACCCACCGGTCCCGACACCGTATACCGAGAGGAGAAGAGAGAAGGTAGGGTGGGATGGAGAGAGCAGAGAGGTAAACAATGCACAGACAATCCCTTTCTCCCCTGACCTCGAAGTCTGACACTAATCAAAGAAAAAAAATCCCCTCCCGACGAATTTTCGAATTTCGAGAAATTAAATAAAATTTAATCGAAAAATACGGATTGATAAAGTTTAATTTGGGCAAACGATTTAATCTTTAATTAAAGAATATTTAAAATTGCAATAATTAATTTCGCAAAAATTAAATCTTTAATTAAATAATATTTAAATTTGTGCAAATAACAATGAATAAAGTTTAAGCAAGTTTAAACATTTAAACATAATTTCAATAATTTCATGAAATTTTCATCGGAAGAATTTAGCATCAGCACGAGGTCATTCATTAAGTAGAAGATGAATGGTGGCAGGAAGATACACAATTTGTTGAAAAGATTCAACCTTTCAAACGCAAAAAAAAGTTGCAGTTTGCATATGGCCGTGCTCAGGCCCAATCTGCCTTGATTGGCACGGTGCCTGGCTGGCACTAACTTCGCATAGGTTAGATAGGTCGTTTAGATTAGGTTAGCAGTAACCCTAATTAGCGCTAATTAGGTTGCTCGTAATTAACGATTGCCTAATTGCGCAATATGGAGAAAAGGTCGCAAACCTAAAATTATAATTTTGACGACCTAATTACTATGAAAGTACGAGAAAAGAAGAAAAAAAAATTGCAACTTGCGATTTAAAGATAACAGAGTGCAGGTGTAGATAATCAATCAATCAATCAATTATGGTGAGTCATCCAATGCTGGTCTGCTCCGATACCAAACTGTTGCATACTCATGAAACACAATCATAAGTATGGCGCAGATTCCCAGAACCGACCAGATAATACAGAGTTAATACAAAATGCAAGTGGAAGACTTGAGATACCTTGGACTGACTCGGACCTTACTCGGACTGCAATCGAACACTCTCAAACATTCATTAGGGGTGTGAATGCCCTGGCCTCAGACAGAGACCAAAGGCCAGGGACTGAGATCATCCACGGACGAAGGGAGAGAGGAGAGAGACGAAGGAGGAGGAGAGGGAAGATGACGTCAACTCAATGTTTCCAAAGATCGTATCTTGAATTGTCTGAAGTGACGAAAATCCGAAATGTCGCGAATGCCAAGTCTCACAATATCCCAGATATTGATCTCACAATGTCAAGTACATCTCCAGAAGGAAGATGAAATCAGGTCCCCAAATAGTCCTCAACTCGTAGTCCCAATATCGCTGCTCCAAATGTTATCAGAGCTCGTGACCATCCTTCATACTAACTCTAACCTACGGAGGCTGGTACCCAACCTTTTGTAGTGTTGGGCCGGCCTCCTACCCGTCGGTACCTACCGGCCTGGACCGTTGATCTAGATCAACGGTCCAGTTTCAAAACTGGTTGGCGCCCAAACTGTGGCAGCCTCTGCAGCGCCGCCGGTAGGTCCTAGGCCGGATCGGTACCGGCCTTGTGGCCGTTTGGCCTGGGCTTGCCTGAACGGTCATGGTCCAGGCCCATTTGGGCCTCATCTGAACCGTCGTCCCCGTGTGGCTCAGAATGCCACATAAGGTTTGGGGATCAAACCCCGGGATCTGAATCTGCCTCTGCGAAGGTGAAAACCGTTTCACTCCCACCGGCCTAAATTCGAGGTCCTCCGAGAATATCTCAGTCCAAGGCAGGACCTTTACCTTTCCTATCTCTTTCGTAGGCCCTGACTATGTCGGGAGCTGTTTCTAGAAGTTCAGTTCTAGTAAACCAGTGGTCGTCTTCCGGTTCCTGATATGTGAATCGAACCTTGTACTGTTTCTGAGGACGACCTCTACCTCCTGTCCTGAATATATCTTCACCTACAATGCCGTCAATGTCGTATCTTCCATCCATATCCGGAGGGATCATGGACCTTTTGGAGGGAAACTGTTGACTTGTGACACACGACAATAACTTTGATGCATGAAATACGGGGTAGGTGTGGAGGTGTGTTGGAATCTCTACTGTATAGGACGGCCCATCCTCTCCGCCTTTAACTTCTAGAACTGGCCACGGTCCTCTATACGCGGGCAATAGCTTTTGCGAGATATTCTCCTCAGGAGCAAATTCCTTAGACTTAACCCAGACTAAGTCGCCAACTTGAAACTGTGACGGGCGACGATGCTTATTGGCTTGCTCTATCATCCTATGTTGGGCCTTCCTGAGGTTCTCTACAACGGTAGCTAACTCCTCGTGTTGTAACGCAAACTCCCTAGTACCGGGCAATGGCCTATGAATCTGATCCCCGTTAACTCCTTCAAACGGTCTACGTGGTCTAAAGGACTTGTGTAACTCGTTGGGAGTGCGACACGTGGACAGGTGCACACTGGCACTGGCTACCTTTGGGAGCATCTCATCCTAGTTAGTCTGATCAGGTCTAATGTACATTCTCAGAACTTGCTGTAGGAGCTTATTCATTTGCTCAGTCTGACCGTAAGTCTCTAGATGAGGGCAAGATGACATCAACAACTTGGAGCCATATACTCTCATGAACTCCTGCCAGTTCTGACTAGTGAACCGGGTGTCTCTATCGCTAACTATAGACAGCGGAATCCCTTGTTCACTGACCCAATGATCAAAGAACTTCTGAAGTACTAACTCTGTGCGTGCCTCCACAGGCAACGAAACAAAACTGCATACTTGCTAAATCTATCTACTATGACCATGACTTGGCTCTTACTATGCCCACTCTTGACGCCGGTGTCCATGAAATCAATGGACACTGAATCCCCGGGCTGGTCAGGAATAGGCAGGGGTCTGAGAAGACCTACAGGGGCACGCGTAGTAGTCTTATTCCTTTGGCAGACCTTACAACTGCGGATGTACTCTATGCAGTCGGCCTTCATCCCTGGCCAAGTATACGCGTGCATCAGATTGGCTAGAGTCTTTTGCCAACCGAAGTGTCCCTCTGTATCTTGACATTCCCCTAAGATCAGGCTACAAATTTCTTCATTGTTGGGGACGCACAAGCGGTCTACTACATCAGTCTTCTCAAATAACAAACCCTCTGTAGTGCGGCAATGTGGTTCAGTCTCTGGGGCCTCCTTTACTCTCTCAAGAAGGTCGCTATAGATAGGATCCTACACATATGCCTCCTTCCCTATATCCAGATAATGGACTATCGCCCCAAAGTAGTCTGACCTCCTACTTAGAGCATTCGCAACTACATTGTACTTGCCCTTAACTGGCTTGAGCTCAAAGTCGTACTGGTCTATCTCGGCGGCCCACCTGGTCAACTTAGGTGTCATCTTGGCCTGCGTCTTCAACCACCTTAACGTCTCGTGGTCTGAATAGACTTTGAAGTGCCTCCCAAGCAAGTAGTGCTTCCAGTGTTCTAGTGCTTGCCTAAGAGCATAGAGTTCCCTCTCATAGGTGGATGTCGCTACCTTCTCTGAAGGCATCGTAGCAGACACGAACTCTACGGGTCTATCTCCGCTGCCATCGTCTTGCTGTAGTGCAACACCTATGCCATACTGGCTTGCGTCAGTGGTAACAATGAAAGGTAAGGATGGATCGGCGACCTTAAGGACTGGATACTCTATCAACGCCTGCTTCAACTTCTTCATGGCAGACGTGCAGTCCTTATCCCACTTCCAGATTGTTTCTTTCTTCAGGAATCTGCGAAGGGGTGCAGCGATGGTAGAGAAGTTTCTCACAAACTTCCTGTAGTAGTTTGCTAGGCCTAAGAACGATCGCAACTCTGTCAGCGTGCGGGGCGTAGACCAATCCCTAATCGCTGCGATTTTGCTATCCTCTGGCTTAATGCCGTCTCCGTCTAAGACGTGGCCTAAGTACAAAACTTGGGTCTTTGCCCATTCGCACTTCTTCGGGTTGATCTTGAAGTTAGCTTCTCTCAACTTCTCCAAGACCTGCCTCAGATGACCCTGATGCTCTTGGAGGGTCTTGCTGAATACTAGAATATCATCTAAGTACACTACTACAAATCTATCTAACCACGGCCTAAACAGGTCATTCATACAACGTTGAAAGGTCGTTGGCCCGTTTGTTAGTCCAAAGGGCATGGCTATAAACTCATAGTGCCCATACCTACTCCGGAATGCGGTCTTATACTCATCATCAGGATGGACCTCTATTTGATGATATCCGGACTTCAAATCTATCTTTGAAAAATACTTGCATCCCTGCACCCGGTCTAAAAGATCATCTATACGGGGCAACGGCTCTGCATTCTTCACTGTGATGGCATTGAGACCTCTATAATCAATACACATTCTAAGCTCTCCCTCCTTCTTGGGGACGAACAAAACTGGTGCTCCAAATGGAGACGAACTGGGCCTAATCCAACCCTTCTCTAGGAGCTCGTCTAGTTGCTTACGCAGCTCCTCCAGCTCCTGCAGGGACATCCTGTACACTGCTCCTTTGGGAGTTCTACTGCCAGGCTCTATCTCTATACGATGCTGGATCGACCGCGGCACTACTCCTGTCGGCGGCTTTGCTAAGTCCTTAAACTGTTCCAACAGCTTGGCAATAGTTGGGTCAATGGGCTTCTCTTCCTTTCAGTAACAGGCCTGACGTAAACTACGAAGACCTGTTCCTCTAATTTCTCCTTTTTCACCAATCGAGCAAACGTAGGAGCACTGAGACAGCAATGTGCCAGGGTGTTATCTACACCTGACGCATGGAACAGACAGGCAGTCTTAATCTCGCCTGACGGGCTAGGGAGCCTACACTCATGCTCTCTCAAGTGGAGTGTGGCCCCTGCTGCCTCTCCGCAGTCCATACCTAGGACTATATCAAAAGGAAGGTCATCCTGTACGAGGAGAGTCAGGGAATGGAGAAATTTATCCACTTTCCCATCTTTCTCTAGGCGGAAATACGCCTGGACTCCCTCTACGTAGTCCTCAACACGAATAGTGCGGTTGTCTGCGAGGACACTTAATATGGGGTCTTCTAACTTTTGGACTTTTAACCCTAGCCTCAACTTCCTCAGCGCTCTATGACTAATATAACTACGGGTAGCCCCTGAATCTATAAGGGTTCCTACTCTGCTTCTAAAAACTTCTACATCTACTAACACTAGTTGTCCTTTACTCTCCTTTTTCATCTTGGCCCAGGCGGGCATTCTCTCCTTCAACTCGCCGGCCACGCCTGTGAGGGAGGTGCCTAGAGAGACTCTAACACAAGCAGTCTCTGGACAACTATCTGGGCACCGGCCTGCAACCTCTGCCATAGGCTCATGTGGTGTGGGAGTTTCTTGCCGGCTCGCGCTCGTTTCCCCACATGGCCTTATGGTAGGGGCAGTTGCGACCCCTACCGGCGGCTGCCTTTTGCCTGCTGGGCAGCCCATCGGGCCTCTCTATATTTTGGACAAAATCGAATGATGTGGCCAGGGTCATCGCAAAATACGCACTGCCCCTGGTCCACACACTGCTGCCAAACACGCTGGTCCAGGCCCAAATCCTCCCAAGGTCGGCCCTGTGGCAGACCCGGGTGCCAACCACCTCTCCAATAGGGTGACCTATTACCCCTATTAGGTGAACGGTTACCAGAACGGTTTTGCGGGGGACCTTGACCCCTTCCTCCCGCTTGGCGATTTCCTCCTCTACCACCAACCCCCTGATCGCCCTGGGAACGGCCACCTGAGGCCCGACCCCTTGGCCCTGGCCTCCTCCTCTTCCTTGCGGCCTCCCTCCCCTGACTGGCGCCACTGTCTTCTTGCTCCGCATCTAGGCCCCACTCTATCTGCTCGTAGGGGACCTCGTCGACACTATCCTCATCTGACTAAAGGATCAAACGATCATTGGTCTTAACCTGTCCAGAGGTAGTGCAACCCTTCCACTTTTTTTCCCTTGTCCAGGTCCTTGTGCCAGAAAGTGGAAACTGACGCGGACCTTGCCTCAAACGCTACCACTTCCCTGCTCAAAGCGTCGTAGGTCATGGTAGGTTGCTAACTCTTTTCAAAGAAGTGCCCGCACAACTGTTCGGGCATAGCGCGGTAGAAGAGATTGACCAGTTGGGTCTCAGTGACCCCATGGTCAGGGACGACAACTAACTCATCCATTACCCCCTTAAAGGCCCTAGCACTCTTCCACTGGCGGGAGTGGATGGTTTGCAATTTATCAGACGCCTTGACACTACGGGTCACGTCAACAAACCGTTCTCTTGGCAACTTGAGAAAGTCGTTGAGGGGAGTGAAGGCAGAATAAGCAACCAAATTGTCGTTGCAATTTGCGACACGGACCAGGGAACGGGCAAAACTGGCGGCTTCCTCTTTCAGGGCGTGGATGGCTATTAAAACGTGCTCATCTCGATAGACCATTTGCAAGTGCACATAGGTTTTGACATTGGCCTCCCAGTTGTCAAAGTTCTCCTCCCTGTTCCCACTGTAGGAATCGGGAAACTTGACTTTGACAGGCTCTCTACGAGGGCGTACTTCTTCCCCCTTGGGCGCCGCCAGCCTGGCGCCTGTGCAAAAACGCTCCGTGTTCTCCAGGCGGGCTTTTACCTCTAAGCCCACCGTGCCCACTAATTCCCGTGCAAACTCCCTGAACCCCAGCCGTATTGAACGCTGTCGAGCGCATCGGTCCCGCACGGGGACCCTCCCGGCCGCGTCACGCAGGATTATGCAGGACTTGTCGCGGAGAGCGTTTGCCGCTCCGGCTGAGTGCGCCAACCGTACCTCTCGCGAGCCCCTACGACAGGACAGGGTCACGCGAGGCACCGCTTACCTCCACCTGCGGGAGCTGTCACCATCCCTTAGGTGGGCGTATCCCTGCCGAGCTACCGAACCACATGCGAAGGCTTTTCGTATGCAATTGCAGAGGTGGCCCAGCCGAGGGCGTTTCTCGTTCGCTGTAGCATAGGGGGTTACGCACGGTCGAACGCCCAAAAATCGAACCCGTACGCGAATCGACGCACTGGGGGGATGAAGTCCCAAACACTATCCGACGCCGGTCGACTAGGACGCGCTACACACACCACGCGTTACACCACAATACTCACGCTTACCACGCATAACACACGAAGACACACAAAACAACCACTACAAACAACACCACTACACAACAATACTCCTAGTCCCTTCAGTATCCGACCCATAAATTTATGCCGCGAGACTCAGATAGGTACTGCACGCTGGATTTTTGTATAAGAGCCGGGCGAACGCACGGCCTCCTCATATCGACCAGCCATGCGGGCATATGCAAGCACTCGCGCTGATGGGGTACTACATGATACTCATAACCGCGCGACCCTTGACAATCTCGAGGGTCGTTTTCGACACTCAAGTGTTGGCTGACAAGCGCTTTGAGGGGTTACCTTCTCAGCGCTAGACAACCGCCATGCGCGGTTGACGACCACACCCTCTTCTGCAGAGGGGTTGCGTAGACAGCTTCAGGGCTGTCGTGGTAGCCAAACTCAAGGGGTTTGACTTTGACGGCTACCACGGACTACAACGTCCAACCATGAAAACTTTAAGGAGGACACAACTGCAAAAGTAAAGAGAAAGCCACCCCCTCTCCACTCTCTACCTAGCCCATATCCCAACTTATATGCTCTGATGGCCTCCTCGAACGGAAGGGGTAGGCTGACACGAGCGACACGCGCGGAGGAGGCTCGAAATCAGACCCATAGGCTACCCGATGTCCGGGACGATGGAGGTCCGTACACGGACTCCCATAGGTCGACTGGGGCTGGTGCTTCGCCCATGCGTCGCTTCGCGATACCGAAAACCCGGGCTTATAGGCTATTACGCGCTTTTGTCCTCGCCGCCTGACCCATAACTTTCCAAGAGCTGAAACAGGTAAGTGTCGCGCGCATGGGTTAACATAAAACCGCGCGGACGCGGGACCTACGCATACCGACCAACAATGCAGATTTTGCGTGAGCAATCGTGATGTCGGCGCACTATGTAGTGCCCATACTCTAGTGGCCTCGTTTGAGCCATGGGGTCGCTCTCGACGCTCAGTTGTCGGCTAAAGCAAGCGCTAAGGGGGGTAAACCTTTAGTGAGCGCAAAACCGGCTTGAGGGCCTTACCATCTTCTGCACCCTGAGGTGCCCCGACGGGTGCGGGGTAAGATGGTCCCTAGGGCGGGAAGGAATTCGGAGCGGTGGTGAGTTGCCTGACGCATCACCAGCACCACACTGATCTTTCCGCCCGGAACTTTATCGTTCCACCAAAAATAAATCTCAACAAGGATGAAGAACAAGTACTCCTAACATCATCAAAAAAACATCGTTAGGATTATGCCTAGGCCCTGGACCGTCCCGGACAAAGACCTTGAATTCCAGACTTGAGGCAGTCGTCCTACCACCTGATCAACATTGAATAAGAAAGGACGCGGGCGTGCGGTCGCGTAGCCCTGTGAGGGTTACGTACGCCTACTTAGATTATCCCACTACCAGAACGAGAAAAGAACAATCTACGAGAAAAGAACAATCTTACTCAAACAACAGGGTTGTGGGGTAGTTCACTCTCACGACAGTTGTGTGGTTTGCCCATCTGAATCCAATACATAATCACTCATCATGACTCAAATGACACTCTTCCATACATACCTGCAATCATATACACAACATTCAAACAACATCACACACGCTAAAGGGGTCAACTTTCCAACTTTCTGCAGCTCACACCCTGCCTTATGCACACAAGCCCCACTGTGTTCCCACCAATCCTCAACAAAATTACTCAGTCTTTACAGAATGGCCATTTATAAAGAAGCTGGGTGAAACCCGAAGAAAAACACATAAATCCTGGCAAGGGCCAAAGCCTTAGGTTGAGGTGCAGGGAAGGTAGGAAGGTTGAGTCGTAAACCGACGAATCGGCACCGACCTGTTATCAGTGATAACAGAAAAGTGATCCTTTTGAAGGATAAGGCTGATCAGGTCAAGCCTTCAGGTGAAATACGGACACCTGCATCACAGTACAGGCCAAAGAAACACTAATGTGTTTATGCCAAGGAAGGCGAATACTCCCTATGTCGTAACCTAGCTCCTCTACTAGTACCGGGCCACTGAACATCTCCTCTATCCAGGATAGATCTGCTAAGTAGCCGCTAGCTGAAAAATATTCTAACTCCTCAAATTCTACGAAATTTCGGCACCGCTTCCCGTAGGAAAAGTGCCTTTTCATAATTTTTACAAGCTCAAAAATGACTAACTCTTTCAGATTTGTAAAAATTTCGGCAGCGCTTCCCATAGGAAAAGGAGGCTGTCAAGATTTATACAGAGCTGAAAAGACAGAAAAGACAAAGCAGCTATACTTACGACTAACTTCTGACACCTGCTTAACGATTCAGGATCAATGACAGCCAACACGACCTCTAGATGAGACTGTGGGCCAGCATTGATCCTAACTCCTAGCAGGGTCTGTCCTATCTTCATCCCAAGTCCTCCCTCCCATCATCCATCTTATCTACCTACGGCTCCAGCACTTGGCAAGCGTCTAAGCAGCTAACCTATCAAAAAGACGCCCCAAGTGAGAGCCCACAAGCATGCATAAACAAACATCTCTCACAATCCCAGATCATTCAGTTTTTCCCCTTAGTAAAC